GTGTGTGTGTGTGTGTGTGTGTGTGTGTGTGTGTGTGTGTGTGTGTGTGTGTGTGTGTGTGTGTGTGTGTGTGTGTGGACAGCTCAATATCTACTCACAGTGAAACAGATCAAAGCCCAGCGTGCTTTGATCTGTCCTGATCACCGCTGTATGTGTGGCACTAATGACCTGCCATACATACCCTCTGTTAATTCTCTACTGCGGGGTCTATTCTGCTACCCAGCCGGGTCGCGCAGACGTGGGAATACTTTTCAACCAGTGTGTGTTTGTGTTTCAAGTGAAACTGGCTTGGCTTTATAGAGAAGGTGGTGGGCGGGACTTGCAGCAGTGAAGGCACACTATTAGCTCCCGAAGGGCTCTTTCACCCGGGAACCCAATCCCAGCCGACTGCCTCTGCCTCGGGCGGAGTTTGAGGAGACCCGCGGTTAATTTTAGTTTGTGTTGGTTGGACGGAGAGGAGGAGGAGGAGGAGGAAGAAGAAGAGGACGACGAAGTGGAGGAGGCGACGGCTGTCTTCTTCTTGTTGTTGTTTTTATTTTTTATTTTTTATTATTTGTCGCCTACCAGCAGGCACGTTTCTTGGGAGCAAACGCAAGCGGGTGTAACTGTCGTCGGCCGGTGTGTCCCGGTTGCGGTTCTACACTGACTTCTATGGAGGATAAATCTGATTAATCCTTTCTTGTTGTGCTTTTTGGACCAATTTAACTTGTATAGAGCATTTCACCGGATACGGTTTGGACTAGTGTCTAAAGCCCGGACATTGGTCATCCAGGGAGATAAAACATGTCACTGTGTCAACAGCTGGAGGGGAAAACACGCGATGGATGTCGGTCAGTCTCCGCTTTGTAGATAACACATGGTCTTTATTCACCGTTCTTGTATTCATTCATTCATTCACTGGACGGGGAGGTGAACAGACGCTGGCCTGCTGTCAGAGACACTGTGGGAAGAGGAGAACCGGTCACAGCGGTGAGTGATGCTTTAGTACAGATTCACGCTGCGGGGGTGACATCGCTACAGACAAAATGATCCCCTGTTTTGCTGTTTTAAAGATGGAGTCCCCCTACACAGACCCTGGCTGTTAATGCTTCACAGATTAATAAGTTAAGAAGGAAAGCAGGAGAGGCGAAGACAAGAAGCTCTCCCCTAACCCCGGGACGAATAACACGACAGGATGCGTTACCGCCGTTAACTTCCACTCTGAGTGAGTGTGGGCAGTGCCAGCAGTTGGGGACGACCGTTGGCCGTTAATCCTACGCTGTGTGGGTGCGTGCACGCGCCTCTGTATGTGGATGGTGATGGTGAGAACCGGTTTTTGATGCGCGAGAAAGTGACGTGCCGCTCTCCTACCTTCCCGCCCTTTGCCACGAGCCTCAAGTCAACTCAGCGAACCAGGCAGCCGGGTCCAGCTTCATTTCTCTCTCCATAGCCTCCTCACAAACTCGCCACCTTTACCTACCTTCCCCGTGTTGTTGTTGTTATTGCTCTTATTATTTATTTGAGCGCGTGTCCCTCACTCTGACTCTCCAAGTCTCGCGGGATATAAAGGAAATAAAAGGGGTGAATCTAAAAGAGCGGAGGGGAAAAGGAAAGGAAACACACACACACACGAAAACAGATTAAGACGAACAGGAGCCGCATATATGAAGATGCTGATGTGTGACCGCGGCGTCCAGATGCTCGTGACGACGGTGGGCGCGTTCGCCGCCTTCAGCCTCATGACCATCGCCGTCGGTACCGACTACTGGCTGTACTCGCGCGGGGTGTGCCGCGTGAAGAGCAGCGGCGACAACGACACGAGCCGCAAGAACGAGGAGGTGATGACGCACTCCGGCCTCTGGCGAACCTGCTGTCTGGAAGGTACGTGATCAGTCTGACTGGCTGCCTGTCTGTCTCTCCTCTCTCTGCTTCTGGCCGGCGCGTGTGTGTGTTTGTGTGTGTGAGTGCTCGTGCGTGTAGCTGTTTCCACACGCACACGCCCTGTCTCCCCTACTGTCTGCCTTTTAATACCAGAGGAGGTTTGTGTGTTTGCCTATGAGAGTGTGACAGCAGCCTATAATCCCTGTAACTCACTTCTTAAGCTGCTCTTCTCGACTTCACCCTCCACCGCAGAATAGATCGCAACTGAGTAGATGTGGCTGTCATCACGCTGCATAGCTCTGGGTAGAAATAAAGCACTAACAGGGCAAACAGAGCGTTATTAGCCAGGCATCTGCACCACTACCATGAACCAGGCATGTGCACCCTGGCACCACCACAGTAATGATGGGAAAGGTTTTTCCTTTGAAGGTGGATTGCACTGTTGTTCCAGGTTGGAGGAAAAAAAGAAGAAGCTTGTTTTGGCCTGAATGGCGCTGGAACTGGGTGTGAATTTGGCAAGCACCTGTTGATTATGGAACCAAAGGCAATGGTGGTTCACTGAATTCTTGCCAGAGAGTTTAGGCATAGGCTCTCAGTCATCCAGGTCATTCGGGAGTTTTGAAAGAAAGTGATTGGATTTCTAAATTTCATGAAAATGTTTCACCTTTCAGTTCTGGTTCAGCCCAGAGCCCTTGAGTAAGTCAGAGTCCTATCAGCCGGGTGTTGTAGGATTGAAATAGTTTCTGCAAGTGCGTAGCTGGCAGTTGGACTGTGTGCTAATAACATACAGCATTGTTTTTAACTCCTCAAACTGTGCTTCTGTAACTCTGTGACAAAGCTAGCGTGGAGATGACGCCACTCTTCCATTCAATGGCTCTGGATCATTCCAAGTACAAAATTCTTAAACACAAGTTAAGTAACATGAAATATGCTGTGCAGTGCAGTGGGGAGTGCTCAGATCTCTACACTGGAGAAACCAAAGAACCACTCCATAAACTCACCACAAAACATAGAAGAGCCACCCTGACAGGACAAGACTCAGCTGTACATCTGCATCTAAAGGACAAAGGTCACTCTTTTGAAGATGCCAATATTCACATTATGGACAGAGAAGACAGATTGTTTAAAAGAGGAGTGAGACAGGCCATCTATGTCCACTGTGAACAACCATCCTTGAACAGAGGGGCACACCAAGCATTGAAGAGAAGTTGGTCGTTCCACTGAATCCAGACTTCTTGACTCTTATATGTAGAGCAGGGTGGTCCAACTCCAGTCCTCGAGAGCTACCGTCCTGCAGCTTTTAGACACATCCTTGTTCCGGCACACCTGAATCAAATGAATGGCTTGTTATCAGGCCTTTGCCAAATTTGATGGCATGCTGAAGAGGTAATCCAACCATTTGATTCAGCTGTGTTGGAGTAGGGATGCATCAAAACTTCATGGCGGTGCAGTGAACTTTACAATTCACAAGCAATCTACATTTAGATAATGGGGAACTCCCAACACTCCAAAAGCCAGATAAACATATTTCCCATTCGACAAAACACAGGAGGAGTAATGTCAGTGACGATCAGCTACAACATCACTGAAACAGAAGTCAGATGACTCTTCTTTGTGTGACACTGACCAACATTTGACTGATGTAACAGTATCACACAAATTCATATTGAACATTTAGATATCAGCGGTTTAAATAGGCTGTTTTTTTTCCTTGTGCGAGTAAAGTGCACAGAATACGGGACGGCAAGCAAGGCTAACAGCTGTTGTGTTCACTGTAGCTGGTTTACATGAGTGCCAACATGGTAATGGTAATAAGTGCAGAGTGTTTGTTTGTGTGTGTTATCTTACATGTTTCCCTCACTTGTCCAAGGTAAATTTCCCCAGAGACAACAATGGCTAATCTAATCTAACATCTGATCTAACTTCGTTATCAGCTGGAAGAATTGACAATGTCTTGAAAAAGTTTTGGTTCCAAGAATGTGACTCAGACCTTGTTATTGCCCAAAATCAGATGAAGTCAGCTAGGCCTTTAACATCTAGTCTATCATATTTGATGTATGGGTTTTTGAGACTTCTACATCAGTGTGACTGTTTTTTCTCACTGAAAAAAACATAATAAATTGTACAATACGTTTAAGGAAATTAATTGCCCAAAAAAATGTCAAAAGCCAGATGTAGTAAATATGATTCAAATTAAAATTCATATACATCACCCCCGCTGCTTCTTACTTTTTCAAGTCCTTTGCAGCATTTCTCCCTTTAAAAACTCTGAGTGATTTTCTTGTTAATTTGGACTTTTTCTAGAAACTCTCAAGGCGTTTGGCTGCACATCCATCGTATTTAGCACCACACAGAAGAGTGTGCCTTGATCACAGGGTTTGATTGGCTCTCTAAAGCCTTTTGGCTGTATGGATTGGCTCTTACATAGTTATTTTCTACTGAATTTGAGCACTCAAAGCTTTTTTTTAATAAAGCCTCATTCACCCATTCATGCAAGTGCTTTTTCTATGCCTAAGCAGTTTTAACCTAACGTTCACATAGGCCAACAGTCTGATGGATGCATCAGAGGCAACTCGGGGTTCAGCATCTTGCCCAACGATACTTCTGACATGCAGGTTGGAGCAGCCTGGGATTGACCCACCAGTGTTCCAATTAATAGACAACTGAAGTGAACGTAAAAAGGAAAAATCTAAAACTTGAACAAGATAGAGGACTTTGACACTGTCAACACGTCAAAGTGTGTGTGTGGGCGGGGGGGTGTTACAGCGCCAGATGGTGCAGGTATGCTGCTGTACGTTTATCCACACAGCAACACGCACATGTTATTGAATGAATAAACAGACAAATTCCAGGATATTCCCAATCCTCCACATAGGCACAGCTGTGGGAGCAGGATGCCAAGTTAACACAATGTCAGTGCATTCACACACACACACACAGGCTCAGACAACGAAACATCATTTGCACATATACTCCTTCATGCACGCCTTTAACAACTGCTTTACTTAAGTGAAGAAGCTCTCTTATCTCTTTTGTCATTCTGTCCATCTTATATCCACTTAGCACAGTGGTAACACACTGGTAGCCATGCTTTTATAATTCATAGCTGCCCCATAAGCTGACAGGAAGCGGATGTGTGTACTAGCAACCTGTACTGTGTCCGACAACAGGGAGGGTGTGAGTGACTTAGACAGTAACTACAGACAAGTAGTGAAGCCTCATATATGCAGTGTTCTTACAGTGGAGGTGAACACACAGAGCAGTTACACATGCATGATGTGCAGCATTTACAGTTTTATTTAGCAGTGAAAATGGGCACCAAGGCAAAAAGAGACCTTAATTGAAAGAAATATTTATTTTAAGGCAATAATTAGCATATAAGTAGTAGCGAGCAGGTGGTCTTATTCTAAAGTTTTCACTGATTTTTAAATACAACTAACTTGGCGTAAAAGCGCCTGCACATGCACATATTCTCCGCTTCTAAATGGAACCTGTTTTGCTTTTATTTTGTGTCACATACATTATTACAGTGATGGATGCTCATTTTAAACCTGTCCAGTGGTTCAAATAATGAGGTCAGCATGTGTATAATTAATCCCCATCTTAAGCTGCCTGAAAAAAAGTTAAAAGACTAGGCCTTTTTCTGCATATAGCAAGAATTCTTGAATGGTATAGTTTTGTTTGCCTTGATTTCAGATGCCCTGTATTTGTTAAAAATAATATCCCAGCTCTTCATTGCTAAATTATAAATTAAGATTCAGGACAGTGCTTCGGTAATGCGGCCTCAATGCAAGGCATCAGCAAACTGCAATTTTAGATAAGCAAACAACTAAAAGGAAAGCCCAAAAGAAAAGAGCAGGGAAATAGCATAATAAGCATTAACATTTAACAACAACAGAGTTCATAAAGTGAGTTCTAGAGGAATTTTTAATGGGCTGCTTGTAATTTAGCACACAGGAATGTAGAGTTCTTATAGAATTTAAATAACAGGGATGTTTTCCAGATTCTGGCATAAATACTAAGGCCTGTAATAGGATGAATATTTACGTGCACTTGCTAATACCAGATGTTAACAGGGACCAGCAGTGTGTGGTGACGTTGGGATTTCTCTAAAGAGGTGCTGCGATAGAATAAATGAGCACAAGAAAAACTCCTTTAGAGAACAGACAAAACATGAATGAAGAGAAACCACAGTGCACATGAATGAAGCGGGGGAGAGGGGTGGAGAAGAGCAGCAAGTGAAAAGTGATGGATGAGCTGCGCGTGCCCTCAGTTTCAGGTGAATCTCTCGGGAGTGTGGGACCACAACGTGGATTTAGATGAACACTCGGTTACAGAATGAAGGAATAGGGTTTTAAACAGAGACGGAGGTAGCAGTGATCGCTCAGGTGGCTGCAGGAAGGAGGCGAGAAGGTTTAAAGATGCAGGTGGGGGTTGAAGATTGAAGGACAGAGTGAAAAGGAGGTCACAGTATAGGGAGATAAGCATTAATTAAATATGTGGGGTGTTTGACCATGTCTAGGATAAAAGCAATCACCTGACTGAGAGGGACAGCGGTAAAGACAGAGGAGGTAAGAGGAATCGTTAAGGAGGGTAACACTGAGAGAAGGGGACAGGTATATAAAGGAGAAAGAAGCAAGATTTCTCTTGAGAGGACATGACCAAAAAAGACAAAGGAAAAGGGGAGGTGTATATTTTATGATTTATATTTTAATATCTATCCAGACATTTTTAGAGTTTGTATTTTTAAACCAAAAAAACCTTCATATGTGTCCTTTATAAGAAAAGTCAACTACTTTTGCATGTTCCCATTATTTGCTTACGTCCTGGAAGCTCCATTTACAGGGGAGGGGAGTGGGTATGCAAGATCATCAGGCTCTTGTGCAGTGCTCTGCAGCTTAATGCAGATGGTTTTGCATGTAAATTGGTGCTGCACAAGAACTTGAAATGTATTTTGGATTGAATAACTGGTTTGCATAGTTGTGGAGAAAGTATTTTTG